ACACTGTTAGCACAACAGCTGGAGAAATGGCTTCATTATGGCAGTCTAAATCTCATTTCATGCTGGCAAATAGCAAATAGCTCTTGCTCTACAGGAGTGAACTGCGTTTAATCATTTTTGCCAACCATGTTTTTCCATTCTATTCACAGTAAACAGAGACATCCTTAAAGGGACAGTTCACTCAAACCCAACTGTTCTCTTTCTGAAAGCTTCCTCGGCCATAATATACAAGGACGATTGTTTCAAACCACTGCTTCTGTGCTCCACTGAAGGTTTGTGAACACCACAGAAAACAAACAAGACTCGTGAAGATCGAACCTTTTTGCACTTGAAGCAGACGTAGTAAGCATATCTGTTCATGGCAAATCCAGCGGGGTTGTTGTAGAATCGAGCTCCAGACATTGTGATGGCTTCACTCTTGTGTAGTCCTTCATACTCCAGTCTCATTAAAGCCTTTCTCCTCACGTCCTCATACAGCTCTTTGATGGGCTCCAGCAGATCTTTTAGGACAGAGTGGTTTATTTTGTTCTAAAAAGAAACGCGGAAACAGGAAAGACACGCATCAAATTTCAGGCACATCAACTGTTAGATATCATGAGCAGCATCTTGTTAGAGGAATGAAGGAAGAGTTCAGACTGGCTTTGGTTCATAAAGAACAGAGAGGTAAAAATGATTGGAGAAGTCTGACGTATGTAAGAGACGACTGACATTCTACTGGAATATCTTTGTGATTATGAAAGGTCAAAATAAATAAATAAACAATTCTAAGAACATAAAAACCAAAAACAAATCTATGCATGGATGAAATGTTTACAATCAGAGAAATAACATTACATGCAAAGGTACATCAGAATTCTTCAGCAAAAATTAAAATTCTGTCATTGTTTAGTCACTTGAACGTTCTTCAAAACCTTCTCCTTTCATGGAAGAAAATCAGTCATACAGGTTTAGAACATAATGGTGAATAAATGACAGAACATTCACTTTCTAGATGAATTATTCCATTAACCAGGGGGAAGAATGAATTGTGATTTTTGCTATTTTTTTTTTATGGCAATTTAAAATGTGATTTTTTTTTCACGCTTGCTGTTTTTTGTTGTCGTTGTTGCAGAGCTGTACAATTTAGCCAAAAAAAATGTTTCATTCTAAAATATTAATTATTATCATTTCTATTATTATTTTATTAGGAGTACAATATTACATTGTAAGATGAAACAAACTAAGAACAATGACTATTGTTCCACTATTATTTCATCAAGTAAAAATTCAAGTATTTAAGAAAAATAATTCTTTTCAATTACTGTACAACTGTGAAAATACAATACCAATATGTATGCCTTAATTACTTGACTTTCAAAAGCACTTGTAGCTTCTCTTTTGTTGCCATTCTCAGTTTGGGAGGTTGGTTGGTGCATGTTGCGTTCCCGAATTAATTTGTTTATTTACTGTGAAGCGAGCTGCCCTGAGACTCTGAAAACACCGGATCATGAGCTGCTCACGTGTAAATGAACACAGTGCTGTCCTTCACTTTGACGCAGTACATATGTCTAATTAAAATGCAATCTTGGCGATTAGATAATCTCACTAAGCAATAGTGTGATTTAGATTTTATTCTGATTACCCACTCAGCCTGACTTTTAACTCAAAGTGAGTCCAGACCAGCTTATTTACCTTGCAAATAGGGCAAGACATGAACCCGAAGGTT